ATATCTTGTAGTGTCAAGTGACAGAAAGTAAGGAAGTCCTCAATAAAAAAAAAAAGGGGGGGGGGGTGGCAATGTCAAAGGGGCACAGGAGCCAAATAAAAGACTCCCAATGGTCTAAATTGGAATGATTTTAGCAACAAGAGTATTCAATTATAATCCCAAGTATAAAATAAATATCCATGAGTTCATACTGATATAATTAATAATTGTGGAAGAGAAATACCTCACATAAGAATTACAATTAAAATATGTAGCTACTGCCCTGGCTGGTATGGCCCCATTGTTTATGCTTATATGCATGCATACAAGTCCTTTCTTTGGCTGATCTTTTCCCCTTACCCCCATCCTCCCCTACATTCCCTCTGAGGTTTGACAGTCTAATCGATGCTTCTCTGTCAGTCCCTTTAAATAAATGTGACTGTTTTGCCTTCTTTCCACATAAATCTGGTTCTTATGTTAACTTGTCTTGGTAGCAGAATATATTAAAATACTTTGTGTTATGTTTTGATAAGCTCAGGAGCAATATATTCCTTTTGTAAACAAAAAGCTCATTAATGCATTTTCCAATTTGAAAATCAGCTGTTTTCCAAAAGTTTACATTTAAATCAAGTGTTTGAAACTTGAAACACATTTTCCCACAGAAATGTTATTACAAATAGTGGTTAAATTCCCAGGCCTGCCCAGTGAAACTCATTAAATTCATTATAAGCAAAAAGACATTTCAATAAAAATAGTATAAAATTATATTATAAAAAAAGCTTGTCTTTTAAATTCAAAAGACAAATTTGAAAGCACAATTCAAATTTATTCAGATTAATTCCATCACCTGAAGTGTTTGAGCCAGGAGCTCACGTTGGGCCTCTGCATATAACCTTCAAAACTGTAAATGTGGAAAGGGAGAGGAATGGAAGGCATTGAATTGGGATGGATGGTAGATGGAGAGACCCTATGCTCAGTCTGGGAAGGCAAGTATGTTGTTTTCACTCAGACTGGGGGAGGGTGGGAGGGTTTCTCCTATGATTTCTGGATATACAATGAAACTGGTGCTCAACAGGATGGAAAAAGAAACAGAAAGGGGATGTGGCTCCTCAGTCTTAGAATCAGTAATGTGCTACTACTACCCAGAGGGTGGGTAAGAGGATACGCCTGGTGGCAGTTGGTAAGCCCGAATGACCAGCTAGCTAACTCGTCCCCAGGTGGGCAGCAGCAGACCTTGGACTTGAGCTCCTCACAGCAGTGTGCTACCAGGCAGAGGACAAAGAAAGAATGTAGGCTTACCTAGGAGACCTGCAGGCAAGCTGACGGGAAGCGAAAAGGACATCCATTTCCAGTGTGGAGGATCAGAAGAAGAAACAGGTAAGAAGTAGAAATGAAGTTTCTCAGAGGGGTGCCAACCAAACTGTCAGACCCACCTGCAGTCACCATTTCTAAGCACAGCAAGGCCTACGTTTGATGTGTTTCAGGTTGGTCTACCCTGGTTTGAGGAGGCCCTTTATAAATCATTTTGTTTTATAAACACCACGTTTGTTAAAATAATAAAACATTATTCCACCCAGAAACTATAAAAGCTTTTCAAAAGCAACTTAAAAACAAGTGTGTGTTTTTTTTTAAATAATTTATTTCCAAATATTTTTTAAAAAACCATAGCATAGCCCTGGCCAGTGTGGCTCAGTTGGTTGGGCATCATCTTATGCACCAAAAAGCTGCCCGTCAGGGCACATGCCCAGGTTTTGAACTTGATTCCTGGTAGGGGGCATGCAGGAGGAAGCCAATCAATGTTCTGCTCTCATATTGATATCTCTCTCTCTCTCTCTCTCTCTCTCTCTCTCTCTCTCTCTCTCTCCCTTTCTTTCAAAAAATCTATTTTTATAAAATCTTAAAACCATAACATATTTTTTAGAATACATCATGGACTTAAAACAAAAAAAAATGTTTTAACAGTTCTTCCTTTCCTTCTCTAGAACCATCTCCACCATTGCTTCTAACCCGATAGCCTTCCTTCCATGCCTCTTAGTTTTCCATTCAGTATTCAAATGCATGGATGCATTTTTTTTAGATACTTTTTTTTTTTTTTTCAGAGAGGAAGGGAGATGAGGAGAGAGAAACTTCAATGATGAGAAAGAATCATTGACTGCCTGCCTCCTGCACACCCCACGCTGGGGATCAAGCCCACAACCCAGGCAAGTGCTTTGAAGGGGAATCAAACCATGACCTCCTGGGTCATAGGTCAATGCTCAACCACTGAGCCATACTAGCTGGTTTATATGGATGCATTTTTACAAAAATTTATATGCCATAGTAATATGTACAGTATTGATAATATCCCAGAGACAAATCTTAGTAGCTATATGACATCCCATCACATAGATATGTCAAATTTACTTAGCCATTTCCTTACTGACAGGTATTCTTGGCTGCTTCATTTTGCTTTTTGCACTGGAAATACAATAAAAATCTTTGTACATCTATTTTGTTATCCAAAAATCTCACCAGCTTACAGTAAGTTTGTTTCTCACTCACACTACTGTCCACTGCAAGTCAGGGTGTTCTTGCAGTTTGCCTCCAGTGGTGCTTCAGGGATCCACCTTCTTTTTGCTGTTTTATAGTCCTTCTTTACCAGCAGCCAGAATAGGAGAGGGCTTGGAGGATGACCAGGAAGGATTGGTGGGGAAGGCTGGATGTGCCTTAAGATACTTCTGCCCCAAACCCATTGGCTTCAACCCAATCATGTGCTCTCAAACTAATGGCAAAGGAGGCTGGGAAATGCAGTCTTCCTTTAGGCCCAGACGTAATAGATGAGCATTTTGCCAAATATCTTTATATTGGTGGATTTATTCCTGGACTGTGAGATTTCTGTGTGAAGTGTTTGTGTGTCTGTGTATGAGTGTGTAAATCACTTTGCAAAAAGACCACAACTAGTTCTGCCAGTCAAAATACTCAGCACCATTTTTTCTAAATCTACCCTTTATAGACACTATCTGGAAATTCAGTTGGCTAAATTTGTGTCAGCAGGGCCCTAGGTTAACTTCCACATGATGAGGCCCGCATGGACAGATGGCAGAAGAGCACATGGTTCAGTGGCTTCCAGGTGATAAGCGGCATTGTGCAGTCTGCTGGCAGTGGCCTTCCCTGGAATTCCTGCACCACAGCCAGCCCTCTCCCCCGACTTGTTTCCTCAGTCTTTCTGACAGTTTAGTGAACGTCTAATTTCTTGTTCAACTCTCTTCCTACTTGAAATATTTAAAGCACTAACTTATATATCAATCCAATGTTTGTCTTTGTATATGACCCACTGTTTTTCTATAAATAAATGTTTAATTTTTATTTTCAAATAAATATGCTTTATGTTATAGCTATGAGGTTTCTATCTTCCCAAGCCTTAGTTAACATAAATATTCTCTAAGACTTCTGATTTTTATTTTTTCTATTTAATTCATTAATCTGGAATTATTTATTTTTGCAAATATTGTAACTGCTAGTATCATTTATTAAATAATCACATTTTCCCACTTAGCTGAAGTACCATCCTTGTTCAAAATGTTTTGATCTGCTGAAACCGGTTTGGCTCAGTGGATAGAGCGTCAGCTTGCGTACTAAAGGGTCCCGGGTTCGATTCCCGTCAAGGGCATGTATCGATACCTTGGTTGCGGGCACATCCCCAGTAGGGGGCGTGCAAGAGGCAGCTGATCGATGACTCTAATAGATGTTTCTAACTCTCTATTTCTCTCCCTTCCTCTCTGTAAAAAAAATCAATAAAATATATATTTTTTAAAATGTTTTGATCTATTTGTAGGCCACCTAGGCTATTCTAGTTATCTATTTTCCCATTCCCAAGTAATGCCATATGTGCTGATTGCTGTGGCTTCCTATTAAAAAACTTGCTAACAATTGGTTTATCAATTCAACAAAGATCATGTAAAATGTTAACTTTACTAACATGCTAATTCAGTTGTAAACAGAATTCAGAATAAAACTTATCTCTGGGCATATATTTGAACTTCCTATAAAAATTAATAACAGAAATAATTGAATGCTTGGCTAATATAAAGAAACAATGGTCAATCCTAACCTGATTTCAAATGTTTGAGAGCGAACTCACTCTTCTCACTGATTGCTGATATATAATAGTAATTGAACATTGTGTTATTGAATTTATAAAGTAGTCATCCTTCTCAATGTTTTCATTCATTATTTTTTATTGATATGTAATTCACATACCACTGAGTTCCCCCTTCAAAGTGTTCAATTTGTTGTTACAACTAGCTAGTTAATAACAGGAAAAGAACAGAGAGGAGGCCAGACATTATAAACATGGTCACCTGGGCAGCTTCACCAGGAAGCTCAGCTCCACCTTCCCCAGGGAATCACAGCTCTGTTCCCTGCAGATCATTGGGGGAAAGGACTCACGAAAGGGGGACATGGCACATGTACAGTGAAGTCAGAGTGATATAGGGAAGAAGCTTGCCTACCAGTGTAGCCTGAAAAAAAGATAGTTTGGCTAGGAGGGCAGAGCTACTGCAAGCACACATCTTGAAAGGATAAAATTCTCAGAGTTCCTCTCTCTTGTGCTCCTTATTTCCTCTTGATCTCTTGCTCCATGACCTGCACTTGCCTGCGCACATGCCTATTTCCTCTCCATAGGCACAGGGCTCAGGGCAATGCAGGCCCCACACGCAATGAAATGCAGCCGGGAACATGAGTCAGCTAGCCAGATGCTGGACTGGACTGGATTTTCATTTGGAGTGGAAACTCTGAGCAGTGGCCTTAACCCTGGCCCTTGCTGAAGATATGAATAGACTTTTTCCGTGGTGGATGGGACCTTGGAGGAAAATCCCCTGAATTTTACATCATAAAGTTTTCCATGAAACCCTGTCCTCCTGAGGCCGCCTCAGGAAATTATTTTCCCCATGACACTCCAAGAACTCCGCTTCTGCTGATAACGAATTCAGTGGCTTTTAGTACGTTCACATCTATAAATGCACTGATCACGTCTTATCTAATTCCTGTTTGTCTAATTTTTTTATTATTAAAAAAATGGGAAAACAAAAGTATAATTTTCTTTCAATAAAAAAGTCATCTGATCCTCATGCAGTTATATTGCAGAAAGTGAAGTCCATGATTTTAGAACGATGGTAGCAATTTACCAACCAAGTAATCAGTTTTCACACAGTCTCAATAATTGCAGCAATTTCCTTGAACTGTCTGTAGAAATTCTGGAAAGGAGAAAAATAATGTTAATTTTGCTTTCAGAGGTAATAATATCTGACCACCAGAGGCTATATAACATTAAGATTATATTTGAATGTGATATTGTTGAAGGTTACTCTGAGAAAAAAGAAAAAAGGGGCATAATTTGGTACTATAAGCAAAAATATTGCAGAGTTGGATAACTAGCACATAACTAAACTTTTCAAAAAGTATACAAGTTATTTTGAGATCCACCAGAAAGATTTATTAACTAGTCAGCACTGTCTTTGACACTGAAGATTAAAATAACAAAAAATGACAGGTTAGTTCTCAGGCCTCAAATCACTTTACATCTAGTATTTCAGGGTGATAGGGGCTGTTTTATTTCATATATGGGTTCAATTGCAATAAGAGAGATCCAACATTGACCATGGCTTAAATGGTAGAAGTTTATTTTTATTTCATTTAAAAATTGGGCTAGTCTGATAGTTCTCCTGTAGAAGTCATCTTCTTTTTTCAAATTCAGATAGGAAAGAGATCAAACATATTCTGTCTTCCTTCCCTTCAACCTGCCAGGAAGTAGGGAGGCAAATTTAAAATTTAACCTCACCAAAACTGATTTACACATTTGCCTTTTCTTTCTTTTTTAGTTTTAACTCTCTACTGGTACTTAAGAGTGCATTTTGTGCCGGGACCGGTTTAGCTCAATGGATAGAGTGTCGTCGGCTTGGGGACTGAGGGGACCCGGGTTCGATTCTGGTCAAGGGCATGTACCTTGGTTGCGGGCATATCCCCAGTAGGGGGTGTGCAAGAGGCAACTGATCGATGACTCTCTCTCATCGATGTTTCTAACTCTCTATCTCTCTCCCTTCCTCTCTGTACAAAATCAATAAAATATATTTTTTTAAAAAAGAGTGCATTTTGTTTTAATTGATATGTAAATTGATTATGGAATGAAGGATGTAACTATTTCTTTCAAAACATATACTGTCTAAAGGCCCGGTACACAAAATTCATGCACGGGGGGCGTGGGGTTCCCTCAGCCCAGCCTGCACCCTCTCACAGTCCAGGAACCCTTAGGGGATATCTGACTACTGGCTTAGGTCCAATCCCTGGGGACCTAAGCTGGCAATCAGACATCCCTCTCAGTCTGAAGCTCTCACAGTCCAGGACCCCTTACTCCTTACTGCCTGCTGCAGTGGAGGCGGGCGAGGCCCCTGCTACTGCTGCTGCATTGGCCAGCCGTGAGCCTGGCTTTTGGCTGAGCAGCACTCCCCCCGTAGGAGCACACTGATAACCAGGGAGCTGCTCCTGTGTTGAGCATTTGGCCCCTGATGGTCAGTGTGCATCATAGCTACCAATCATTCTGGTCATTCCGCCATAACGGCGGCGTAGGCTTTTATTGTATAGATGGCCCTGGTTGGTGTGGTTCAGTTGGCTGGGCCTAGTCTATGCACTGATAGGTTGCCTGTTCGATTCCCAGTCAGGGTACATGCCTGAGTTGTGAGTCCGGATCCTGCCAGGAAGGTTTGTGCAGGAGGCAGCAGATGGATGTTTCACATTCATTTCAATGTTTTTCTCTCTCTCTTTCACTCCCTCTCCCTTCTCTCTGTAAAAATCAAGGTCAAAATTTGAGCTGCAAAAAAAGATATAAATTGAAAGCTCAAAGAATGCTGCCAAGGGTTTGTTTTCCTTATTAACAGGCTTTGTTTTCCTTATTAGATGTTAAGCCATGTAAAAACTAATTTAAAAGAGTTGCCCCATTTGTGTGTATTTTTCCTATGAGAAAAAAAAATCTTGCAGGTGGAATCAGAGCACATAAAGGCTGCACAGAAAAATAAGAATTAGATCAAGATTCTGAATTATAAAAAGAACTGAAATCTATATTCTCTTTTGAAATTGAAGGGGTTCTTATATTCAGTTGAAGGCTACTCACATATCACAATATACTACATTTATTTCCTTTTTAATTAAGTCCTAATTCCTTTAAGATATTAATTAGCATTATTAATGATGAATCTGTGACCATTATTTTTGGTTCTAAAGCAGAAATATCAGTTTTAAAAGAAAGAAATCAAAAGGAGAAAAAAACCTTAAAATTTAATTTGTAAAATAGAGCTACCACATGGTCCAGCAACCCCACTTCTGTTCCAAGGGAAATAAAATAACTATCTCAAAGACCTATCTGCACTCCTACATTCACTGCAACGATATTCACCATAACCAACATATAGAAGTAACCTAAGTATGTGCTGACAGATGAAGGGATAAAGAAAATGTGATATATAAAAATATATACAATATAAATATATATACATATTATAAATATATTATATATATAATACACACACACACACACACACACATATACAACAGAATACTATTCACCCTTAGAAAGAAGGAAATCCTTCTATTTTGACAACATGAATGAACCTACAAGCTGGAAGACACAGGAAGACAAATATTGCATGCTCTCATTTATATATGCAATCTGAAAACTTGAAACTCACAGTAACAGGAGTAGACTGATTACCAGGACTTGGAGTGGGAAAAATGTGGAAATGTTTGTCAAATTACAAACTTTCAGTTATAAGACGAATAAGTTTTGAAGACATAATGTACATCAAGGTGATGACATAATAATGTGTTATTGCTTGAAAGTTGCCAGGAGAACAGATCTTAGTGGTCTCACCACACAGACACACAGTAAGTGAGTGATGTATTTTAATTAGGTTGATTGTGGTAATCATTTCACAATGTGTATATAACCAAAATATCACCTTGGACACCTCAGATATATACAATTTTTGTCAATTATACCTTAATAAATCTGAGAGGAAAAAGTATCAGAAAAACTCAAAAGTGGCTTATGAGAGGTTTTTCTTACACACTGTGAAGATTCTTATCTATTCAACATAGCTTGAAATAAAATTTAAAAAAACAAAACAAAAACCCTAAGGCCAGTTAAATTAGTTAATGACAACACATTTCCCTGTATGTACATGCTGTGAAGATTCTTATCTATTCAACATAGCTTGAAATAAAATTAAAAAAACAAAACAAAAACAAAAACCCTAAGGCCAGTTAAATTAGAGAATGATAACACATTTCCCTGTATGAACATTTTTTAAAAAATGTAATTTCTCATCTACCCTCTTTTTTCTTCTCTCCTTATGGAAAACAGGTAGAATTCTAATATGACTAACAGGACTCCAAATATAAACTATTCAGATACTCAAATCTCTAGCTAACAGAACTAATCATCAAGTATTAGTGTTCTGATCTGCTTTTTATAAACATTATTAGAAGATTCAAGGTTAACACTATTCAAAATAAGATTCATTTAGCTTATCATTCTCAAATATTAAACTTAAAAAGAATAAAAAAGTTAAAAGCAAAGTAAATATCCTGCAAGAGAAATGAAAACTTTCTAAATATATTACAGAAAAGAACTGTGAAAGTGATCAAATGTCATAGTATACAAATTCAGCATATTATATTGCAAACAACTTATCAAATTCCCAGAGGAAACAAATTCAGATGTTGTATACTAATAAACAGAAAGCACATCAAAACAATTGTAAATAAAACAATTAATATTCCCCTTAAGAAAGATTTTATACATGTTAAGCAGCAATGACAGAACAATGAGCTACAATTGACTGAATTAAATCACAAACCTGGAACTGTGGAATTGTCATTTCAAAAGACTTGGTCTTTACTTGACCTGAATGATCTGCCACTTTTAGCATCACGGCAACATAAGGATACTTAAGAGATCTGCAACTGTCTGAGCTCACAGCCATGCCCAGTTTCCACTGAAAATCTACAAGCTGTAACGAAACAGTACAAAACAATACATTGGTAATAATATTGCTCTGAATTCAGATATTTACTTAATTTTACTGCTCTCACATTCAACTTTTGTCAATCATAATAAAAGAAAATATCTTTATCTTAATATTGCTGGAGCAACAACCACCAAATGAAAATGGAGAGGCAATAAGGGATATAAACAAAAAACAATACTGTGCCCTAGTCGGTTTGGCTCAGTGGATAGAGCATCTGCCTGCAGACTAAAGGGTCCCAGGTTCGATTCCCGCCAATGGCACAAGTCTGGGTTGCGGGCTAGATCCCTACCCCATCCCACCCTATCCTCAGTAGGGGGTGTGCAGGAGGCAGCCACTTGATGATTTTCTCTCATTATTGATGTTTCTATCTCTCTCCCTCTGAATAAAAAATAAAAAGACTGTTATAATTACAAAAGGAAAAACAAAAACAAAAATCTCCACAAAGTGTGTAATGAAAGTAGAAAGATGTGGCAGAACTAGTTTTCCTTTCATTTTGCTTCTGCACTTAAGGGGGCTCCAAATGCTCTGGACTGTCTCTTACCTCTTTCCTATTATGGATGCCTTCCCCCACTCTACAACCTAACAGTCCTGAAATGGGAGATGAGTTATATGCCCTTTTCCTATTTGATTGAGGCACACATGGGAACCATTCCAGTTTCTTTCCTCACCATGGTCCTCGATCTGCAACCTTGCATTAGCATAAATACTGGGTGATAGGTGGCTTTAGATTTCATCACCACTGTTGATGGACACGTGCCAGGTGACGTGCCATGCAGTTTAAATGTTTAAATGCCTCACTGAATCATAACACTATAGGCTATTATTTCCATTTTGCAGATGACACACGCTGAATTTTAGATAGCCTGGATAATGTGCACAAGGTCACATATTTTAGAATCAAAACTTGGACCAAAGTCTGTTTGACTCCAAAGATTACATGCTTATTGACTACTGGCTTCCTACTTTTTAGCTAATTCCTGTCAATGATTGTTCAGTGTTGCTATGGCATAAAACAAGGTTAGATAATGACTCTTAATAATGACCCTAAAATATATGACCCTGGCTCAACCAGTGTGGCTCAGTGGTTGAGCATCGACCTATGAACCAGGAGGTCATGGTTCAATCCCGTCAGGGCATATGCCCGGGTTTCTGGCTCAATAATGATTCTCTCTCTCTCATCATTGATGTTTCTCTCTCTCTCCCCCTCTCCCTTTCCTCTCTGAAATCAATAAAAACATCTTTTTTTAAATAAAATGTAAAGCCATGAGTGGATGAATTAGCAGGCGCTCACAAAAAGTACTTGTCTACTGACAGATACCTTTTGCTGCCAAATTAATGCTTACTGTGTAAAAGCTTTGCTTGTTAATAACTTTCTCTTTTTAAAAGGTGGGATTGGTGTGAGGACCAAAATTTCCTCAACTGGCTTCGGACCAATCAGCTACAGCATAAAGGTCAGGTTGGTGCTCATGAAAGGTTAATGTATTTAATAAGTAAAAAGACTGTATATGTACATTTTAAATAAAAGCATCCCACACAAAAAAGATAGTAGGTATATAACAAAAGAACTACCAATGAATAAACATATAAAAGGAGCACAGGGAAATGCAATTTTAAACCATAATGAAATACCAATACCACTACACACCTATCAAAACAGCAAATTTTTAAGTCTGACAATTCTAAGTATTAGGGGGGAAAAAGACGTGTCATATGTCGTTGATGGGAGTCTAAATCGGGCCAATCTTCTGGAAAAATTGGCTTTACCTAGGAAAGCTGAAGTTATGCACGCCTTGCTATCCAGAGATTCAACTATGAATACAACCTAGAAAAACTTGTGTATATGTACACAGGATATCAAAATGTTTCTGGTAGCTTTATTCATAATAGCCCTAAATTATAAATAACTCAAATGTACATCAATATTAGAATGGTCAATGAAATGCAGCAATGAAAATGAATGAACTTCTGCTACACGTAACACCAAAAATGCTGAAATTAGTAAAATTATTTGATTAATTCACTTGAGAAACAGAAAATATAACAGTTTAGGAATGCAAAACTAGATGGCAAAACTATGAGAAGTGAAAATATGATTATCACAAAAGGATAGGAAGGAAGAGGTTTGATTGGTGAGGGAAATGTAGTTAGACTTCCAGGACTGGTAATGCTCCATTTCTTGAGTTTTGATTGTAGTTACACAGATATTCAAATTTAAATTATTCTCTTCTATTCATAACTTTACTAGAGGCTGGTGTGTGTGTTCCTCAGCCCAGCCTGCACCCTCTCCAATCTGGGACATCCCTCTCACAATCCAGGACTGCTGGCTTCCAACCGCTCGCCTGCCTGCCAGCTTGATCACCCCCTAACCACTTTCCTGCCCCCTGATCAATGCCTAACTGCTCCCCTGCCAGCCTGGTCACCCCCAACTGCCCTCCCCTGCAGGCCTTTTCACCCCTAACTGTCCTCCCCTGCAAGCCCAGTCCCAACTGCCCTCCACTGCAGGCTTGATTCCCCTCAAATGCCCTCCCCTGCAGGCCTGGTCCCTCCCAACTGCCCTCCCCTGCAGGCCTGGTCACCCCTAACTGTCCCCCCACACCAGCCCCTAACTGCTCTCCCCAGCTTGTCTGGTCCCCCCCCCCCCACCCAACTACCCTCCCCTGCAGGCCTGGTTGCCCCCAACTGCCCTCCCCTGCAGACCTGGTCCCCCCAACTGCCCTTCCCTGCAGCCCTGCTGGCCATCTTGTATCCACATGGAGGCGGCCATCTTGTGTGTTTTAGTGATCGTCAATTTGCATATTACTCTTTTATTAGATAAGATGAGATGAAGGTTAACTAAATTTACTGTGGTGATCATTTCACAGAATCTGTATGTGGAGTCATTATGTGGTGTACCTTAAACTTATATACAGTGCTTTATGTCAATTATATCTCAATAAAACTTGGAAAAGTTAAAATAATTCATTAGCCTGTCTATATGTTTTGTATAGATGTTATTTTGCACATATAGCAGAGTGGAATATAAGTTGGTGAGTTCCTGATTGAAAAGAGAAAGTTATTGTAGGCCTGGGTGATCAAGAGAAAACATTACAGAAGGGATAACTTTAAACTCAGTTTGAAGAATAAAAAAAGAACTAAAATTGAGAGAAAAATGTGGCTTATTTATAAATGCCATAAATACACACCTACCAAATAAGTGCCAAATAAATATTAAGCTGAACCAACTAGAGATAAAAAGAAAAATAAATCGGGTTAAGGAAGAACATATTTCCTATCTTAAACTAGAAGGCTTTTGTAAGGAAGTTTGGGAAATAAAGCCAAGGAAGGTGATCAAGAGGCTACCAATTCTTTACAAATTATATGAATTTTCAGAGGTTTCCAAAATACTCTCAGGTTCTTTATATTATGGAAAGCAATATGTCATATAAGTCATTTAAACTTTTCCTGTAGGCAAAGAGAATGTTATATCACAGAGAATGATATAAAATAGTGTATTGATTAAAAAATAGCCATCTGGTGGCAGCAAAATACAATAATCCAAGTATAAAATTTTAAATGCCTGAGCGAAGGTGGTGACAAGTAGGACTGAGCTGAACCTAAAGAATGAATCACTAGGTACTGATGATTATCTACACAGTTATGGGAGGTATCAAAGAAAAACAACTATAAAAATTTGAGCCCAGATGACTGGGAGAATTCTGATATCATGTATCAACCAGGACTTTATATATTTTAGGTACGAAGGTATTACCAAGAAATGAGAAGGAACATCTAAATAAAAATGTTCAATAAGTGGCTAAAAATCCAAGAACACAATTCAAGGGGGTTCATGATTAGAGACAGATATTTTATATCAGTTCAGTGGTGATATCCAAAAATATCACTGGATCCATTTTATTTTTTTTTAATATACAATATTTTATTGATTTTGTACAGAGAGGGAGAGACATAGAGAGTTAGAAACATCGATGAGGGAGTCATCGATCAGCTGCCTCTTGCACACCCCCTACTGGGGATATGCCCGCAACCAAGGTACATGCCCTTGACCGGAATCGAACCCGGGACCCTTCAGTCCCCAAGCCGACGCTCTATCCATTGAGCCAAACCGGTCTCGGCTGGATCCATTTTAAACTTATTCATCCTATACAACTCCTTGGTGTAAGAAGTTCCTTTTTTTTTTTTTTTGTCCATAGTAAAATGGTAGAGTAAAATATTGCTTATGTGACTCTCAAAGTCTGAAATAAAACTCTGAATTATCTCAAGCAGAAAAGCAATTAAGGAAAACAGAGTTGGAATCCACGGACCATTACAATGGTGAAACTGGCAGATTAGAAAATGACAGCTGCCATTCAGACACTCCGTGTGCCAAGTTAGTATTCATGGGTTAAAGAAAGCTGGGGTTAGGTTTATGAGATGAGAATTTCCAAAATTCTAAACTGAACACTTAAATGAAAATTAAAAGCAGTCCTTTTAAAAAATGTAGTTTAGCCTTAAATAAAAATTAACTGCATATGACATTTTTTTTTTAAATCAAAACAGAGCACACTTATCAGCATGGAAAATATTAAGAATGAAGTAATGTAGCCTTAAAATTCTTATAGAATGAAGAAAATAGTTTACAAAGAAAAAAGTTAGTAGGGGGGGGGGGAAATCTAGAAGTAAAATGAATACATAGAAGAAAAATAGTCAGAAAACAAATGTAAAGTAAAAGGTAAAACTGATAAAGATAAAATAGATAAAGACCATTTCAGTTTAAATTTCTTTTTTATTTTTCAAAACACAACACAGGAGAAAATTAAAAAAAATAATCACACACAACTCCATCCTAAAAACTATTTTCTTATTCCTGTGCCCCCATTTCAAGTCTTTATCTGTATGTAACTTTTATAGCTAGTCACAAAATATACATTTTTATGTTCTCTTCCTTTTAAATGGAAGTTTTCAAATGGTAAGAATGTTAAGTGTTCTGCACACATTAATCTCTCTCAAAAGTGCTAAGAGGAAATGACTGATTAAACCACTCATCCAAAAACACAAAACTAGCAGAGCTGGTATTCCCCACCAAATTTGACTGATTCCATACTCCGCACACTTTTTGTTATACCTACCTGCAACATGATCACTATTTGGAATTAAACTAAATTCTAGTAAGTCAAGAAAGTAGATTGGGACATGAATGTTTAGCATCTTCTAATCTACATGGTAGACCTGAGCTGTCCAATACAGCAGCCACTAACCAAATGTGACTATTTAAATGAATTAAAAATAAACAGAATAGCCGAAACCGGTTTGGCTCAGCGGTAGAGCGTCGGCCTGTGGACTGAAAGGTCCCAGGTTCGATTCCAGTCAAGGGCATGTACTTTGGTTGCAGTAAAAAAAAAAAAAAAAAAAAAGAGAGAGCAGGAGCATAATCAACCTAGTTTAGTACTGAATCTACTGAATAATATTTGGTACAAAGTGAATGTTCTAATAAATATTTATTGAGTTAATATGTTTAGAACTTCTGTTAGTCTCCAAAGATAGCTTCTAAAAATTGGTGTATGTACATGATGCTCCTTACATCAAGAAATGGAGCTTAGCCCTAACTGGTTTGGCTCAGTGGAAAGAGCGTCAGCCTGTGGACTTAAAGGTCCCAGGTTCAATTCCGGTCACGGGCATGTACCTTGGTTGCGGGCACATCCCCAGTAGCGGGTGTGCAGGAGGCAGCTGATCAATGTTTCTCTGTCATCGATGTTTCTAACTCTCTACCACTCTCCCTTCCTTTGTAAAAAATCAATAAAATAAAAAAAAAGAAATGGAGCTTAGCCAGCCGGGATGGCTCAGTGGTTGAGCCACCGACCCCTGAATCAAGAGGTCATCAGTTCAATTATGGAACAGGCTCAGTTCCCATTAGGGGACATGCAGGAGACAGCCCATTAATAATTCTCTCTCATCACTAATCTTATTTCTCTCTCCCTCTCCCTTCCTTTATGAAATCAATAAAAATATGTTTAAAAAAAAAAGAGAGAGCGAGCTTATTTTCCCTCTGCATGGGGAAATCACCGAGCTGTCCCTGTGATTGCTTTGACCAGCAGAATAAGGCAGCAGAGGCTTTCTGGAATCCTCAAGCATGGGCCTTAGGAGAATCGGAAGTGTCTGTCTCCTTCTTCATAGAACGCTGGCTCTTGGGGCTCTCCTTTTTGGAACCCAGCCACCATGATGTGGACAGCCATGTGGAGGAGAACCAAGTCACTCCCATTAACAGCTCTAGCTGAGCTCTCAGCCAAGGTCAGCACTGAGCCATGTGCGTGACTTCTGGCCCAATTAGGCTCCTGGATGACTAAAGCTCTGGCTGAAATGACAGGGAGTAGAAACTACAACTCAGCTAAATCCAGTTAACCCAGAGTCCTAAGAGATAATTAAAATAATTAAATAGTTGTTTCAATTAACTAAGTTTTGGGTAGTTTGTTATGCAGCAATAGACAACTAACATAGAACAACTGGCAGAAAATGACTTTATCAATAAGCTTATCATGATCTATGATTTACCAAAAATGTATTCTCCTAACTATATAATCTGAACTACATTAGTTTATAGAAATTTTAGCAAATACAAATAACCAAAAAATATTACAGGTAACCAGTTACCTCTTAGATGTTAATATACCCAGTAAAAATAATACAAAAAAAATAAAATAAAATCTTTCCCATTAAACACATTCACTACTAGTGCAATGGCACAGCAATGTCAAACACATCACCTTTCCTCAAAAACGTTTTTCATCCTCATTTCATTCCTACTGATGGCCCCCCCTTTTCTAGTGATTCCCATGTGAACTGTAATCAACTGATTTTTCTTTCCCCCTTACTCAAAGCATGTATGAATTGCTAGGTATTCAATATTTTATTTCAGTCAATGCCACTGGCATTTATTCCCTTCTTCCCAATCTCACTGTTTCAAACCTACTGAAAGCCCGCTTTTAAAATCTTGCCTTAAATTTTACTGAAGCCTCCTAATCGGTTTCTTCTCTAAAGTCTTTGGCTCCAAACCTGTCAAGTCTGCTGCCCTAAGAGCTAGTTACCAACCATTTACCTAGCACTGAAGTCATGTCATGGAAATCCTGAAGAGCTTTTCGCACTTGTACTCAAACTGCATCTCTTCTTAACTTTCAACCTTTACTCATGCTGTTCATGCCTCTTGGCATTCAACTCTCAAACATCTTAAAATTTAAAGCTCCTCTCATATTCTACCCATTCTGTGAAGTCTTTCCTGGTTTACTCAGCCTTCCTATGAATGTTCTGTGTCACTTCTTATATCCTAGCATTTAGAACATTTTGCCGTGTATACTAGTTATCTGTAGTTGTGTTTCCCCCATTCACTGTACTACAAATGGCTTTGGGGCAGCTGGTACATCCAACACAATACATAGAACAAAAATAGTTGCACATTTATGAAGCACTTTATACACTGTACAAAACTTAAGTCATTATTTCTTATACATAGGAAGAGGGAAAATGGCACTAGATATTGTGTCAATACAACATATTTCTTTTAACTTATTCCATAAAAATGGCAAGAAAATAAATAAAATGTGGCAGCAACAGGAACCACCATTCATCTATGAAGAGTTCTAATTAGACATCTATATACATAAGAGTCATGAATTACTTCAAAAATGATTCCAAATATCAGAGTGTGAAGTAATAGATATCTTACACCTCTAGTGCTGGGCAATATAGCACCATGGTTCATTAAACTTAATAAGCACAGAATCTAAAGGCAGGCAGACATGAGTTTCAATCTCAGACTTTGTAGATATGACTAAATTGAGAATCCTGAGGCGAAGTGTTTCCTGGGTTATTATCCATATGGGCCCAATGTAATCAGAGTCCTTATAACAGGGAGGCAGGAGAGTCAGAGTCAGACAAGGCAACATAATGATGATGATAGCAGAGAGAAAAGGGACAACAAAAGCCAACATTAGAATGACGTGCTTGGAAGATGGAGGCAGAACTCACAAGCCACGGACTGTGAGCAGCCTCTAGCTGGAAAGGCAAGAAAACAGATTCTCTCCAAGAGCCTCCAGAGGGACACCGCCCTGCCAACACCTTGGCTGTTAGTCCTACAACACTAATTTTGGATTCCTGACCTCCAGAATGGTAAAATAATAAGTTTGTGTTGTTTTTTTAAAAAAAAACACAGCATTCCCCTCCCAATAAAAAGGTTCCATTTTTAAAACCTTATAATCTAGTATGATTCAGTTTCAAGATATCTTACTCCAATAAAGATGATTCAGACTAAGTGAATGCATAAAATGAGTTATGAAAGACTGAATCAAAGTGCACTAACCCAGTAACTCTGAACAAAACCAGACAAGAATGTGAATTACTCTCTCCCTGAGTTCGCCCAGGAATCCTCAAAAACAACAAACAGCAAGATCAATTGGAGACAAATGACACACAGCAGTCAATGGTCATCTCTCAGCCCACTGTATTCTCATTCTTTCTTAATCTCTTACAGTATTTTGTATGGACCTGGGTGACTCCTGACCTAAAACAATATGGTCTTAGTACTGTTCTTCTGGGAAGTGTGTTGTCTAAAAACAGTTTATTAGCTAAAATAGGACAAGAACACTTGTTAACAAAGAATCAGGATTAAGATATACCTCAGAATTCAAATTCTTATTCTTAGTATAAATATATAGGGTGTCCCCCCAAAAAAATGCACACATACTTTTTTAATTATAAAGACTGTTTATTAAAATACATTTCATTTTCAAAATTGAGCTATCAACCCTAGCCAGGATGGCTCCATAGATAGAGCATCAGCCTGTGGACAGAAGGGTCCCAAGTTTGATTATGGTCAAGGACACGGACCTCAGCTACAGGCTCCATCCCTGGCTCTGGTCAGGGGGTATGTATTGGGGGGTAGGGGGAAGGGCAACTTATCAATTTCTCTCTTTCAAATCAGTGTTTCTCTGTGTTCTTCCCCGTCCCTTCCACTCCTTCTAAAAATCAATGGAAAAATATCCCCGGGTGAGGATTAACAAAACAACAGCAACAACAAAATTGTAGCTATCAGCTCTTACACTGTGATTACATTTTTTGGGGGACACCCTGCATACACATTGGAAGATTAAAGAGGTATACTCTCCATTCTTAAAATAACTGGCTTTTAAGACTAAGAAAATGTTTGCGGTGCTATCTTTGTAAAGTTTAGTAATTTACACCCTTAATAATCATTCTGAAACATATTGTGTACCTAGCCCCGCGGTATGCTCAGTAGTTGAGCCTGGACCCATGCACCCAGAGGTCGCTGGTTGGATTACTGTTCACGGCACCTGCAGGGGTTGCAGGCTCAATCCCCAGTAGAGGGCGCGCAGGAGGCAGCCGGCTGATAGTTCTCAGCTAGTTGTTTTCAATCTTAGCGAAACATCTCTCTCTCTCTTCCCCTCTCCCTTCCTCTCTCTAAAAGGCAATAAAAACATTAAAAAGTACTGTGTAACTAATTTTGAATAAATGGTACCTAATCAAGAGCAATACTTGGCCTGTACTCTTTGGGGCTGGGGAGGGCGGGGAGGTTAAATGACGATGGCAGTAGGCAGTGGCAAAGAGGAAGGAGCGATGCGGGGCCACGCAGGGTGGGGGGACGAAGGGGACCGGCTTGAGGACACGGGCCTTGGACTTGGCGGGGCGGGGGGCAGAAAGCTGGGGAAGGCTCACGGCGCGACGTCCCCGGCGGCCCAAGGCCCGCCCCTTCCCCACGGAGGCCAGCGAGGACCGGGCGGGGCTGCCACGCACTCACCTGGTTGGTGACCTGAAACGGAAGCAGAAAAAACAATTCAGGGAATGACCTTTCTCGCACCACAAGCCCGCTTCCCCGCCTGCCACCGGCCCCAGGGCTTACCTTGTCCTTGGCATCCAGCAGCGGCTCGCGAGACCCCTCCATGGCAAGCGTCCAGGGCTCCGCACAGCGGACTCCGGGACGACGCTCCCCGGAGCCACCACACTTCCGCTTCCGCTTCCCGGCGCGCGTGGCCTGGCGCACGCACCGGGCGGGGGGCGCCGCACACAGACGTTTTTGTATAACTCGCCCATATTATCAATTAAATACTAGTTTTAAGGAATCCACTCAGAAAAAATCATTAACTAATCTGGGAATATGGTTTCCAGTACGTAGGCTATACCCTACTATGGAAGGTCCTAGGACTTCAGGGTGCCATCTCCCCCCTATTAACGCTGTAGATGTGGACTCTTCCCATGGGCACAGCTCCCTCTGCGCAGGCGCAAGCTAGTGGCCTGCACGAGTAGTTGATCCTAATCAACTTGGAAGCGGCCCCCCTTCCCCACAGAAGTTCGTTTTTCGAGGGAAAAGCTGTGGGAATTATAGTTAATAATCAGCTGTCGTCACTCGGGTTTCCTTCACAGGGGTCGCTGGTGGGGGCGGGAAGGGGGTGCTTTATCCCCATTGCCTTCCTGACCGCAGCAATAGCTCCCCATCTGGGCTTCCCGCTTCCTTCCCTCCTTCCTACTCATGGCAAATCCACTCTAGTTCTAGAGATTCCTCCCGCAACCCCCTCAATCCCCCCCAACTTTTGATTTAGAAAAACTTGATTTTTTTCCCCCCGGAAAAGTTGCAAATAATTCAATACTTCATCTAAATCCACCCACTTAACATTTTTACACATTTTGCTTTAACCCTAGTTTCATACTAGGTTAAGGTGACCAGATTTTAACATTGGTAAAGCGGGACACCGTTGACTGGTGAGGGGAAGATGTTCTTGATTAAAAATTTGGTCTATATGGAGTAACAAAAATTTTCATAGAACGCAAAAATAATATTGTAATATATATTTTTTAAATTTCAACATAAGTATAATTTATAAATATAATAAATAAATAAAAATTATGTATAGCCGTGTCACTTTCAAGGCCGGCACTAGACTTTTTGCTGCCACTATAAAATATAAATAATAGTCGAAACCGGTATGGCTCAGTTGATAGAGCCACGGTCTGTGAACTGAAAGGTCCCGGGTTCGATTCCGGTCAAGGACATGTACATTGGTTGTGGGCACATCCCCAGTGGGGGTTGTGCAGGAGGCAGCTGACCAATGATTCTCTCTCATCAATGTTTCTAACTCTCTATCCCTCTCTCTTCCTCTGTATGAAATCAATAAAATATATATTTAAACTATAAATAATATGAGTACTATCTGCTAAATTCAAGAAAACTTATGTATTTATTAAATAAATAAATTACCTAAATTATCTGAATAGCTGATTTGTAATGACATCACTTGTTTAACTAGCTTACTAGCACACAGTACGATGTGTATAGTCTGAGAGACAGTTACAAAATGTTTTCATCATTGCCAATCCCAAAAAATGCCATTGTTCATTAAGTCCAAACAATGATGGTCGAATTCTAACAACCGATCAACAATGTGAATTTTAATAAGCAGTTCTCAATAATCAGTTCTCAATAATTATTTATTATTAAAGTTTAACATTATAAAACTAACAAAATATAAAACTCATATCCTGGCTAAATAGCCACATGGCTGCCGAAAGCCTATATTCCCTTCCCATTCTCCTGCTGTTCTCTAGCTTGTTGTGCATTCTTTCCAAAAATCGGGGCTTTTTTAAAACACCAAGGGACGTGGGACAAATTGTTAAAAATCGGGACTGTCCTGCCAAAAGCGGGACATCTGGTCACCTTATACTAGGTGTACTGGTTAATAATGACAGATTTTGTAATCAAAGAAAACATGACAATTTCAAGAGAAACATCAAAAGTGCTTTATTCAAAGTAATGTCCATCACTAGCTATACATTTCCCCCATCTTTCAGGTAATTTGTGGATATCGTCCCATAGAACTTTTCTTGTTTTGAGGCAAACCATTCAGAGACCCAATTTTCCACTTCTTCGTACTTTTTGAAGTACTGCTCAGAAAGTGTATGTGCCATCCATCAGAACAAGTAGTAATCTGAAACAAGGTCTGGTGAATTTGGTGGGTGGGTTAAAACTTCCCAGGCAAGATCTTTTAAAGTGTCTTTAACTGGTTTTGAAGTGTGTGATGATGCATCATCATGAAGCAAAATTACTTTGCCATGTCTTCTGGAACATTCTGGTCATTTCTCGATCAAAGTGTGGTTCAAATAGATTATTTGTTGTCAGTAGCGATCAGTATTAATAGCTTCACCTGGTTTTAGAAGCTTATAATATACCACACCTTCCTGATCCCACCAAATGCAGATCATTGTCTTCTTTCCGAAGCGATTTGGCCTTTGCAGTCCATGTTGATGGTTGTCCTGCATCAACCCATGATTTTGTGGATTTGGAATTCTCAAAATAAATCCACTTTTCATTGCCAGTCACAATTCAATGCAAAAATCACAATTACCACACTCAAGAAATTTAAAACTGATAAAATGTTATCTACCGCATGGGCCAAGTGCAAGTTTCCTCTGTTGTTTCAATAATATTCTTGAAAACTGCTCCCCACTGTACCCACCAATGTGATGGATGGCCACCAGAGGCATTTGGTTATGGTGTCTCCGTAGTCTCCTCTAATCTAGAACTTCTCTGGTCAAATGGCAGGACTGCCGTGGTTCCTCCCTGGAGGCTCCAGGGGAGAAACCACTTTCAGGTTTGGGCAGAACTCAGTTTTACGCAGCTGCCATTTCCTTGCTGGCTTTTGGCGGGGGAGGGGTGTCCTTCAGCTTCCAGAGGCCACCTGCATTTCTTTCTCCATCTTCAAAGCTAGTAATGGCAGGGCAGGTCCTCTGCACACTTGGAACCCCTCTGACCTCCCATTCTGCATCACCTTTCTTTCACCACATCGTTTTTAAGGTCTCAAATGATGACATTGGATTTACCCAAGTAATCCAGGACAACCTCCCTATCTTAAAGTCCATAACCTTAATTTCATCTGCAAAGTCCCTTCAGAGCAGTGCCTAGATTGTCTCTGATTGAATGACCAGGAAGAAGACTCTTAGGGGGAGGGAGGAACATTTTTAAAATTCTGCCTACCACAAACAACCTTCATATAATTGTTGGAGAACTACATTAGTTAACACATGTAAAGCCCCTAGAACTGTGCCTGCCATGGAGCACTCAGAATCTATGCAAAAAATAAATAAATAAATAAATAAATAAATAAATAAATAAATAAATAAAATAGCCAAGGTTTTGGGCTCAATATTATTGGACCTGATTAAAAGTACTAATTAGCTTAGGAACACAATCTCTGAATGAGAAAAATCATTTATTTTCTATGGAAGTCTGATGAAAGGTAAGATCCTATGGTGCTTCCCTCTGGTCAGTGCATCAGTTTCATTTGTCAGTAAATATTTCTGTAGCCCTTGGATTACGGTTAAGGTTAGGGTTAGGGTTAGGGTTAGGGTTAGGGTTAGGGTTAGGGTTAGGGTTTCTCCCTCAGAGCCTCCACGGAGGAAATTGTACTCTATGCAAAGCTGTATGCATACACGCGCACACACACACACACACACACACACACCACACAACTAAACACACACAGGCCACATGTACACACACACACACACACACACATATATAAATCTTAACATATAAAAATGCCCCCAAAAGATGAAATGAAACATATTTAAAAGTTAATTTTTTTTATTTCTCTGTATTTTTCATGCATTCCCTTTAAAACTTGATTTTTTACAAATTTAAATTAGGCATGACTGTCCTTTTGTAAAAATCTATTGATCTAATTTGGGGAGAGTAAAATGTCAGTTGTGTGTAGCCCAATCTCTGCTAATTGTGACTCTTGTGCTCCTGACACTCTAGCAACACGTGATCAACTGTTTATTTTTAAGACCTCATCTTACAAAATACCAGATTTTGTGCAAGAGTAAGAATTGGAAAATGGAGATTTTATGAATAGAGCCAAGAAAAATGCTAAAATTAAAGATGTATAAGCATAACTTTTGTTTTATTTCTATTTTTGTTTTATGACATGTTCTATAAATCAGAACATTTAAATCAGAAAATTTTTTTAAAATATTTTTTTATTGATTTTTAAAAAGAAGGGAAAGGAGAGGGAGAGAGAAACATCCATTCTTTACAGAGGTCAGCCTCCTCCCACATTCCCCACACCAGATATTGAGCCAGCAGCCTGGGCACATGCCCGGACCAGGAATGGAACAGGCCAGCCCCTGGTGCACAGGATGATGCTCAACTAATTGAGCCACACCAGCCTGGGCAATCAGGAAATAGTTTTGAGGGCCAGCTGGTGTGACTCAATGGTTGAACATCCACCTATGAACCAGGAGGTCACTGTTTGATTCCAGTTGGGGCACATGCCCAGGTTGCAAACTCTATCCCTAGTAAGGAGGCGTGCTGGAGGCAGCCAATCAATGATTCTCATCATTGATGTTTCTATCTATCTCTCCCTCTGAAATCAATACAAACTTATATTTTTAAAAAGAAAATAGCTTTGAAGCTCTTATAATAAACCTGGTACTGTCAGAAGTGCAGGAGGATGTCCCAAGAACTATGGCAAAAACTCTGATCTCACAAGAATTCCAATGCAATGGGGAAAACAAAATTGACACACATGAAGCAAACAATATTTCAAGCTAAGCTTGTATTCTTGGGGCTTTTGGATGCCAAATTATATAAATCCAATCCAAACTAGCCTGAGCAAAATATTAGAAATTACTGTTTTACAGGAGTGGCCCCTGAAATGTAGAGGTGGAACAAAAGGGCCCGATCTGTCTGTCTGTTGGCTTCATTCTCTTGGGCTTCTCCCCGTTATGGGGGAGGGGTGTGTGCCCATGCCTATTAGACTGCCAGCATCTCTGGTGTCACAGCCTATGTAGTTCATGCTCCAAGGGGAAAGAGGGAACTGTTCTGTCTCAGTTCTCAGAGAGGGTCTCTGATTTTCCTGCTTGGGTCATGTGTTGTCTCCTTGGACCAATAGTGAGTCTAGGGTGATGCATTAATAATTTTTCTCCCTGTGCTCCCTGTTGTGGCCACAAGAAGTAGAATTGTGTGATTGGCAGAGTTACTAGCAACAAAAGGAGTGAAATGTACCGTATAGAAGAGAGAAGTGCAGATG